ATTCAGAACTTTTAAGTACCGTATATAGCCACCCACACAATAAATTGGCTGCCATGTTGGACGTCAAGTTTATTAAGAGTTCAAAGGGGAAAAACACATTTTCTTGCCTTGCTACCTTCTTGAGGCCTTTTTTGGAAGCTTAGAAAGCATCCTGAGGATCTAATGGGGTTTAGTAGTCACCTGAAAGATTGCTATTGAGAAATACAGAGCGGTTTCCTGGTACCAAGCATTTTTCTATCGTTTCTCCATTGCTACCAATCGCTGCCAATGGAAAACTGACGTCCAAATGAATTAACTTTTTTTGTGAAATTTATTACGGTATGCAATGAAACACTAATTTGCAATGAATATACTTAGCACTCATATCCTTGCCCAACTAATTTTTACCTTCATATGACCCAGATTGGATTACTTATGTTGAACATGGTTCTAAAGAATTTTTCATTACACTTTCTGATGCACATTGATGTCCTGAAAGTTTGAACCAATTCCGACATCAATAATGAGTTTTATAGTGTATAAGCCAATTTCAAGTTTTGAAAAATATCCATATAGTTTTTTTAATAAAATCAACCTAAATTTTGATTACATTTTCTGACACATATTGATTTCATTATATGCTGTGTAAAAAGTTTGAGCAGATTTAAACTTAAATTTTTTCTAGTTATGGCCATTTTAAAATAATTTGCCAAAATACCCTATACTATAGCCCATGTTTTTTTTCAAAAAATGGTTCCAAAATCACCCCAAATTTTTCTTACATTTTAAAATGCATATTGATGTCCTTATGCTATGTAGAAAATTTGAGCTGATTCTGACTTTTCTTTTTTAAGTTACAGCCATTTTAAGAAAATGTCAAAATTCTGAAATGGTTTTTTCCAAAAAATGGGCTCAAAATTACCCCAAATTTTTATTACATTTTCTGATACACATTGATGTCCTTATGCTGTGTAGAAAGTTTGAGCTGATTCCGACTTTAATTTTTCAAGTTATGGCCATTTTAAGAAAGTGTCAAAAATCTGAAAAATACCCAAGGCTATGGCCCAGTTGAAAAGGGAACAGAGCCCTCAAAAAATTTATTATGAAAAAGGGTAGAAATAAACATGTAGGTTAAGGAAAGGAATATAAGGAAGAAAACAAAAAACAGGTTAAAGATTGGTTAAGGTAAAGAAAGATACACAAAGTGAGTGATAAGGAAAAAAAATAATAGTAATAATAATAATAATAATAATAACAATATTGATAATAATAATGATAATGATAATAATAATAATAGAATAAAAATTTAAAAAAAGGAATAAATCTAAGAAATACCAATGTGGGCATCAGAGGCCGCTCTGTCAAAATCTGAATAGTCAACTACTTTGCCACGATGCCGGGTACTCTTTATACAGCAAATTGCAGACCGAAGGATAGTGAATGAATATTGGCAGCGAATGAAATTCATTGTTGAGTGGTAGGGTCTGTTAAATTTGTCAGTGTAGAGGAGAGAGAGTCTCTTGAGGAAGGAGGTGGTGAGGGGGCTACAGCCGCCCGAGGTGGAGAAAATAAGGGGAGTGAAGGACGAATGCTCTACTTCCCTCACCCTTTGCTCATACTTTCTTTTCTTCTTTAGCTCATTGTCTCGGTAGCATGCTTCCAAAGTGCGAGACTTGTTGGTAGGGGCTAGAGGACAAAACACTCGAACATCAAAGAACACTTTCCTAAAGCGATGGCCCCAGAATCCCTCAGCAGAAATGTCTCCAAAATTGCCTCAAAATTTTATTACATTTTTTGATACACATTGATGTCCTTATGCTTTTTAAGCTGATCTCAAATGTCATAAGATTATTTTAACAAACAGCTCCAAAGGTCTCTTATATTTTGCTTGTAAAAGTGGTAACATGGAATTGGTTTCTCTTTCTATTAAACGAGTTTGATTTGGTTCCTGTTCGAGCTAGGAGACATTGATGGTGCCAAATTATGCTCAGTCTA